CTAATGTCTTCCACCGGGACCTAAAACCCAAAAATATCTTAGCAAATGCTGACTGCAAACTCAAGATCTGTGACTTCGGTCTGGCAAGAGTTGCTTTTAATGATACCCCTACTGCTATTTTCTGGACAGTACGTACCTTTGTAAAGAGTTGTGGCTACTGGTTGATTTCTTAGCGGGTCAATTTCTTTCAATTTAAAAGTTCTTGTTCTTCATTCCACTATCTCATAAACTATTTGTTTCGTTCTCCTTGTGATGGCAGGATTATGTAGCTACAAGGTGGTACAGAGCTCCTGAACTGTGTGGTTCATTTTTCTCAAAGGTGAAAGATTTTCTGCTGCATTCTTTTAGAGTTAGAGTAGAATATCTTGGTTGCCTTTTTACCCGAATTTATACGAAGAATATGGCTTTTTATCATCTCGCCTAGCTACCTAATAGTTTCTCATTGGTCTATTGGGTTCTTTGGCCATTTTTTTACCTTTCATGCCAACTTCATGGTGTTGAACCGTTTTCATTCTTTGTGTGTGTGAGATCCCACATTGGTTGGAGAGGGGAACGAAACATTCCTTATAAGGGTGTGAAAACTTGTTCCTAGCAGACGCATTTTAAAATCGTGAGGTTGACGGCGATACGTAACGGGCCAAAGCGAACAATATCTGCTAACAGTGAGCTTGGGCTGTTTCAAATAGTTTTAGAGCCAGACATAAGGCGGTGTGCCAGTGAGGACGCTGGGCTCCCAAGGGGGGTGGATTGTGAGATCCTACATTGGTTGGAGAAGGGAACGAATCATTCCTTATAAGTGTGTGGAAACCTCTCCCTAGTAGACGTGTTTTCAAACCACGGCTGACAGTGATTTGTAATAGGCCAAAACGGACAATATCTGCTAGCGGTGGGTTTGGGCTATTACAGTCTGGGTGCATGTGTGTTTCTTGGTATGAAGTTAACTGCTTATAAGTTTATATAAAATTTTAGTTATATGGTTTGCTCGTTATTTGCAGTCTGGGTAGAATACATGAGGAGATTCTATTGAATGGTCAACTGAACAATTGTTGAATACCATAAGATGGTTAATGTAGAATTTGGTCAGGTCCATAGTCATGTAAAATCTGAGTAAATTCCATATAAATGAGTTCAAGAATATTCATTACTACCAACAACGTAATCACAAGTTTCTCTTTGGTCTGCCACTAACTAATTCATAAATCATCAGATACACAGAAAATATGTTTATTGATTTTGAAGCTCTTCTATGCATTCTAATTTGTATTATATATTTCTTTCAGTATACACCAGCAATAGATATATGGAGCATTGGTTGCATCTTTGCGGAGCTCTTAACTGGAAAACCACTTTTCCCTGGAAAGAACGTCGTCCACCAATTAGATTTGATGACAGATTTTCTGGGAACCCCAAATGCAGAAGCCATTGCCAGGGTCTGATTCCTGTGAACTGTTTTGATCAAGTTCATGTTTAACTATGACGTTTGCATGCATGCCATTTCCTTTTGCTAAATATCTAATCTTTTATGATTAGGTACGAAATGAGAAAGCTCGGAGATACTTGAGCAGTATGCGAAAGAAGAAACCGGTTCCTTTCTCCCAGAAGTTTCCTCATGCAGATCCACTTGCACTTCGCTTGTTGGAAAGAATGTTAGCTTTCGAGCCAAAGGATCGACCTACAGCGGAGGAGGTAAGAGTACTTTTTAAGTACTGTAATCCTAGCTCACTGGTTCAATTGGAGGAAAATATTCTACATTTATGACATCAATCAACAGATTCTCATCAGATTATTTCAGTTAAATCTTGATAAGTTAGTTAGCTTTCTAAAATTGCTCATTACCCGTTCATCTTATTTTTACATAATACTGTTTTCAAACTTATTCTGCATTTATTTTTAGGCCCTTGCAGATCCATATTTTAAAGGCTTAGCGAAGGTTGAGAGAGAGCCATCTGCTCAACCTGTAACTAAGATGGAATTTGAATTTGAGAGACGAAGGATAACCAAAGAAGATGTTAGGGAGCTTATTTACCGGGAGATTCTCGAGTACCATCCAAAGATGTTGAAGGAATTCTTAGATGGATCTGAACCTACTGGTTTCATGTATCCAAGGTACTACAAAAACAATAGTTCTCTGATCAATTCTATCGTCGAGGTGTTTTTATGTTATGCCCCTCTCTTTTCTTTACCCTGACGCCTTCTTTTTTCATGACCATGTCATTTGGGGGTGGGGGTGAAAATGTCTTCCTCTATCAACTTAAACACAAAATTGTTCTTTCAATATGAACAATCTAGCTTTAAATTTTAATATCACAGTCCCAAGTTGCATCGTATTGTATTGCCTTTTGAATTCCGACCCTTTGGAAAACCTGTAACGACCCAAGCCCACCGCTAGCACATATTGTCTTTTTTGGACTTTCCCTTTCGGGCTTCCCCTCAAGGTTTTTAAAAAGTGTCTTCTAGGGAGAGGTTTCTATACCCTTATAAAGAATGTCTTTTCTCCTCCTCAAACGATGTGGGATCTCACTATCCACTCCCCTTCGGGGCCTAGCGTCCTCGCTGGCACTCGTTCCCTTCTTCAATCAATGTGGGATCCCTCAATCCACCCCCTTTCTTTGGGGCCCAACATTCTTACTGGCACACCGCCTCGTGTCCACCCCCCTTTGAGGCTTAGCCTCCTCGCTGACACATCACCCGACGTCTGACTCTGATACCATTTGTAACGGCCCAAGCCCACTGCTAGGAAATATTGTCTTCTTTGGGCTTTTCCTTTCGGGCTTCCCTTCAAGGTTTTTAAAACGTGTCTGCTTGGGAGAGGTTTCCACACCCTTATAAAGAATACCTTATTTTCTTCCCCAACCGATGTGGGATCTCACAGAATCCCTTTCATTGAATTCTCCTTATCACCATACTCAAGTGCAAGTGTTTAATGGTACATTCATGATCATTTAGATTTCTGGCCTCCATTTGAGGGCTTTAAGTAAGATATAACTCAAATCAATCCATTAAGTTGTCTTTAGATTCCAGGATCATATTAGAAATGTTAACATGACAGAAAAATGTTCGCTTCTACAGTGCCGTTGACCATTTTAAGAAGCAATTTGCCTTCCTTGAAGAACACTACGGAAATGGTGCAACTGTTGCTCCTCCTGAAAGGCAGCATGCATCCTTGCCTAGGTATCTCTTTTAATACTTCAAGCTTAGTGTTCGTTTTTCTTTTTCTATGCATTGGTTAGGATCGTTGAGAATAATCGGATAGTAACCTCTCAATTATTTATTATGCACACAGGCCATGTGTTTTATATTCAGATAACACGGTGCAGAACTCGGCACAAATTGCAAATGACCTATCCAAATGTTCCATCAAAGAAGTTGAGAGGCCACAAGTGGATAGGACTTGCAATATTCCTTTGACTAGAGTTCCTATTCAAGTTCCTCAGTCTATTCAAGGTGAGTCTTGCTATCCAACTGCACTAACTTGTATGCTTCCATATTTCCCCACATGTGAAGGTTGTCTTTATTTATTCGTTTTTAGCATGACGGTCTCGTCAAGAACACACCCCCGATTCCTTGGAAGTTTGGTCAGACCACTAGAGAGGACGTCGATAATAGATTTTAACAAAGTATGCTGAGACTGTGTATTTACTTGGAACTATTGTACAACAAAGTTGCTTGCAGTATCAAAAGAAATTGTTCTTAGAACTATTGTATTTGAGTTTTCAGGGCGTCTCTTTTGTTTTAGTAATTCCTTAAATGTGCGGATGGAGCTGCTAAGCCCCATTATCTGGTTAACTTATTAATAAGTTTCTACTGATAATTTGCAACAGGCAATGGTGCAAGGCCTGGAAAAGTTGTTGGCAATGTATTACGATACAACTGTGGAGCAACAGCAGCATCAGCAGTGGCACCAGAAGTTCTGGAACAGCGGAGGATGATCAGAAACCCGTCCATTCCACCACCATACGCCGCTACTAACTGTTCGTATCCCAGACGAAACCCATCCTGTAAAAATGAAAGGACTGATGATGAAGCCATTGAAGGTTCAAATGGGTTGCAGCCAAAACCTCAGTACATAGCTAGAAAAGTTGCTGCTGCCCAAGGTGGACCAGGAAATAACTGGTACTGAATCTATAATCCGCTGTTCATTCTTGGGTCTCCGGTCGTTTCAGTGAAGACGTAACTGATCTCCATTGCGGGCTTGTACTGAAACTTCTTGAGGACCATCTCCCACGAGTCTGAGTGAAACCAACAGCAGCACCATTACATGAGACAATGAAGTTTAAGACATGATTCATTGGAAAGACAGAGAAAACTGTAGTCTATGTTGCTGACAAAGTTGGGTTGCTATTGTAGCATTCTTAATGTTCGTCGAAGCGTTCGTGTTCATCGTCAAAGCTTTGTGACTGGTTGCAGCTTACCTGGTACTTGATATTAGGACCATGATGCTGATTATTATGCTTTCTTTATACTGTTTTTCTCTTCGCAGGTATAAGTTACAAAAGTTGACTAATCCAACCCACTAAGATTGCTGTTTGAAGATATTTGGAACCTGAAAATCAAAACCTTAATCAGTAGCTGATTCTCTTATGTATGAAAAGTGTAATCCCTTTAACTTATATTTATCACATCAGCCGTCTTCTTCAGTGTTTAGTTTCCAAAGTTTGAATTAAATTTTAGCTTTGAGCCATAACTACAAGATTTAGCTCAAATCCTTGAATAAAAAGTTTAATGTTAGCTAGTTTTTATGTTAAGTTGATTAGTTTATAAATCTAATGATTGTATGCATATTTTCATTAAAAAAAAAAAAATTGTATTGATCTGTTCTTGAATTTTGAGTTAACTTGGTGGAATCCTAGCAGCAGCTACAATCAAACCCTCATTATATACCTTAACATTACAAAAAGGGATCTAAATCAAACTATAGTTGAGATCATAAATCATTGATAATAAGAAATGAAAATAAAGGGAAGAACAAATGATCCTCTCAGCATTTCGAGTCATGGGCATTGGGCTTGAGCCAACAATTTCTACAGGTCCTGTGATATATTGAACTCTTGGGTATATGTAACTACACGAAATCGTTTCATCGATTACAGACAAAAGATACATAATCCAGTATTTTACAATAAGGAAACCAAGAGAAATGCTAAAACTGAGCATTTAGAATGTGAATTAGTAAACACTAGAGCATTACAGACTGACCATGTTTTAAATCCAACCTCTGTGCACATGGCTTTCTCTCTATCTATCTTAATGCACGACGACAAATGGTTGGAATGGCGTTAGTAAACAGTATTGACGACGATTGGATCAATATAACCTTTGCCTTACTCGTCTTCCATTCACGTAACTACCATCCAACACCATTGCATTTCCGTACCCGCTGCAAGTAATCACTGCATGCTCCGTCACCCTCGCTACGTATTGTAGTAGTTCGGTGAGAACTGATGGGCAGCTCTCTTTCAGATATTCAAACCCATCCGTTTGCATTACAGCTGCAAGACAAAAGTATAGCATACAAGCATCACATCAATGGAGCTGTCAGCAGGGATGCTTCTTTTGATCAAGAAAAAATGAAATTGTACGAAGACTTCTAATGAAAAGAGGCCATGAAATGGAAAATGAGAGGAGAATAGTTGCAAGTAGGATGATTTTTTCCTAACTCCTATGGTGTGAGTTTGTCTAGCTTAAGCTTTCAAGCTAGATCCCATAGTTATTGAAGACTAGCTATAACTAAGAGTACCACCCCCTCTTTTCTCATCAACTTAGACAGGAGGCGTTAGGAGAGGCTCGGCGTAGGAACGCCTTATCCCTGTGAGGCTGTTATTTATGGTGGGCTATTATCTATAACTCAGGTGTCCGGTTTCCTAGGAAAAAAAAAAACCCCCGACGTAGCCAAGGTTCGTCAACATTTTTCGTTGAATAAAAGAAACGTAAAAAATTTCAATAAGCTAGTCAGTATAGATGTACTCAGAAAAATAAATACCTCTCAAATTCTCCGGCAGTGCAATGACTCTCAGACATACAGCTTTTAGTTGGAAACAATGATGCTGCTCGGCCAGCGCTAATGTCGTTGCAACCGTATTAATGGCAACATCCTCACAAAGTTTAGCCTCACAAAGCAATTTGAGTCTCTCTAATGCATATCTGTCTGCTGCAGCGAGTAGATGCTGAGACATCAGCGTGGAAGCCCATTTTGAGTTTAAGCCTACAATTTCTTCCATGTCTGGTAGGTCATCCCAATATATGAAATGAAGCAATGCCTGTATTCATACCGACATTAAGGAAAAACAAATTTATCATAATCGAAAGCAACTTGAAAATAGAATTGTTAAGGCTACCTTTCATAATCGTTACGTTTATAGTTTTCTATTTTTGAAATTCATAATTTTTCCTCTCAAGTGGTTTTTCACCGTTCTTAAACTAACATTCGAATTCTTAATCAAATTCCAAAAACAAAAACCACTTTTTTAGTTTTCAAAACCTGGCTTGATTTTTAAAAACATTAGTAGAAAGTGGATAACAAAACCATTCTTCTTCAAAATATATATCATAAGCTTTTGATTATCGGATCACATTGGTAAAGCCCACAAAAAGAAAAGCTAACATGAAAGGGAGAGAGCACCTTAAAAACTGGGGCTTCCATATCTTCAACTTTTATGCACTCGGTATTACGGTCCTTCAGAGGGCCATAGAGCTGTGCCCTAAAGACAGGTGACCGTGCTGCGAGAACTAACTTGTGAGCAGAAAATGTTTCCCCATCTACATCAAAGTTCACGTCGGTTAGCTTCCCACTCTCCAAAATCTTGCCAAAATGCTGGCCTATATTGGAGGGTGGTGTTGTTATGGAGTAAATCTTTGGTCCCTCTGTCTGGGACTTAACAACACCAACTACACAGTGGATTTCGAGGCAGTCATCCTTGAGGAAGTCAGATGCTTCTAAAGAAGTTCTTTTATAATAACGTTTATAACCCCTGTAAAATAAAATAAAAATAAAAAACTTGGTCATTTCCTTCTTCATTCCACAATAAAAGAAACAAAACATTTTATTAACAAATGAAGAAATGGGGCACAAATCTTGAGATGTTAAGAAAGGCTAAAGTTCCGAAGAACACATGACAAACAAGAACTGTAGTGTGTCTAGAGATGTAATGGCCCAAGCTCGCCGCTAGCAGATATTGTCCTCTATGAGCTTTCCTTTTCTGACTTCCTCTCAAGATTTTTAAAATGCGTCTGCTAGGGAAAGGTTTCCACACCCTTATAAAGGGTGTTTCGTTCTCCTCCCCAACCGATGTGGGATCTCACATGAGATCAACATATGAAAGACAGAATTGTTTGGAACAAGTGTGAAATCTAGATAGAATCCTTCGAGTATTCTTTTATTATTATTATAACAAGAAACGATACTTTTTATTTCCTAAATGAAACGAATCATTTCCTAAATAAAAAGAAAATGAAGAAATGGGGCACAAATCCTGGGATTGTTTTTTTGTATGCTATGCCCTTGTGCTTTCTTTCATTTTTCTCAATGAAGGTTCAGATTCTAACCAACAAAAAGAAAATAAAGTTCCTAAGAGGATTCAAAGGGTTTACTATACTAGCCAAAAGAAGATCAAATACAGCTATTGTCCTCTTTGGGCTTTCCCTTTGGGACTTCCCCTCAAGGTTTTTAAAACGCGTCTACTAGGGAGAGGTTTCCACACCCTTATAAAGGGTGTTCCGTTCTCCTCCCCAACCAATGTGGGATCTCACAGCTACATACCACACCTCCTCCTAAGAACCCTCATACATAGTATTCTTCTCCAATACTCACCAAATCAAAGTTCCATAACTAGTTGGACAAAGGATTACTTCAAAGTTCAAACGAAGGTATTCTTCACTTCATGGGTATCCCCTTACTGCAATTACACTCAGAGGAAGTCCATCTTACAAGTCTATCACTTCTCAATCGCTTCAATTTGAATAACATTTGATCCATTCACATTAAGCCAATAATAAAAAAAAAAAGAACATAAACTTCATGTAATTGAAATGAACCATACCCACATCTGCAAAACAATATTGTGGCATATGCTAGTTGCAAGCAAAGGAAAATAAACATTTCCCCTTTTGTTAAAGAGATTTTTATTGTAGGCGAAATAATACAGGAAATACTTGCATCAGAATGAAGAACAAAAACAGAATTCAAATAACGAGATCATGCAAGATCCTAATAGTATATCAATGCAACAAAATGCTTACCACATGCTTCCTCGATACTTAAGCGTATAAGGTCCACTCTCGAGCCTTCTCAAAAAATGGCTGTGCACCTTGTGGTTCCCCTTCCCAGTTTGATCCAACAACCTCAATTCAAAAAGGGCTCTAACCTCAGTCCCTTCGCTAGCCAACGCTATAAAAACCGAGACATACGACGCGTTATCCTCGAGGCACTTCCCGTCTGGGTAGAAATATATAGCAAACGTATACCCCGCAACCATAAAGGTATCGGACGCGATGTATTTCCCAAACCCCATCCCCTTATTGAGGGAATACCCATTGATCTTAAACTCATGCGATCCATTAATGGTCTCGAAGCGAGAAGTAGAAGAAGTCACAGGTGGCGGCGGCGGCGACCTAAGATTCGAATAGGATTTAGAGGGGTCCCTGCAAGATTTAATCGTGCCCATTAACTAAAGAATCGTACACAACAAAATTTCAACGCTCCGGACCGCAAAATTAACTCAAGAACCGTCGCTAAAAGAAATCAAAACTCGATCAATAATTAGGGTTTAAGATTTCAAAAGGAAAAAGAATCATCACGACGACGTCGTCGACAAATAGGGGATTTTCAGGAAGACAGAAACAAAATCAATACGGGGAATTGCAAAGAAATGACCCGGAATCACGGGATTTAGAAACAATTTTGAAGAAGGAAGAAGATTTGGTGGAGTTCTTGACTCGAAATCGAATTATCGTCCTAGAGGCGAAGAACAGAGAAGGGAGATGGAGAAAAAGAGTATATGATTGGATAAAAAAGAAATACAATTTTGACAGTAATATCAAATTGGGATTTCCTTCTGCTTGTGTCAGAGAGCTTTTGAATGCTTTTTTTTTTTTTTATTTTTTTATTTTATTTATTTTTAATTTTCCTCTTGGGAAAGGAAAAAAAAGGAAAAGAACAAAAACAAAAAATGGCGGATAGCTTTAGCTGTGCCTTTGAGTCTCCTCTTTTGACCCTTTTTTTTTCTCCTTTTTTAAAATATTTTAATCAAATTTTTGGTCGATAAATTTTAGGAGCGGTTTGGAGCACTATCGGCTCCAAATTAAGAGTCTCGAGTCTCACAGAGTCGATTGCCTGTACTTGTTTAGGGTTTAGGATTTAGAATCTTTAAATTTGATTAATAATTATCTCGTATTTCAAATATTAAGTTCGTAAAAAAAACCAAAATTTTGTTTGCAGTCTATGTGTCTCGAGTGCATGGTTGAGTTTGAGTTATTTTATTTTTTATTTTGTTTAATTTATAATATTGTGATATGATAATTTATTTTTAAATTATATATCGATATTTTGTCGTGTGTGTAGCAACTTTCCAACTATATTCAAATTGCCATAATATCAAGCGCATTTTGGGCAAAAAGTAAATTAATTTTGACGTGAATGTAACGAACTATATACTTTTCACCGTAAAATTGGCATTATACCATGCGCATTTTGGTCCAAAAAGTAAATTAATTTTGACATGTAGCTAACAAACCATATACTTTTCACTGTAAATTGGCATTATACTATGCGCATTTTGGGCGAAAGGTAAATTAATTTTGACATGCACCTAACAAACTATATACTTTTCACCTGGGCAAAAAGTAAATTATTTTTGACGCGTACCTAATGAACGGTACCATATACTTTTCACCGTAAAATCAGCATTATAATTAAAAAAAAATTTACTTTTAAGAGAAAGAGAGATGGAACAAAAAATGGTAAGACACATCAAACTTATAAAGTTGACTTCAATTATACTCGACTAAGTTTTATTTTAATATTTGAAGTTAATTTTTTCTTTTCAAAACAACGTTCCAATAAGTAAATTTGAAGGTTATGGTTAACGAAAAAATTATGAACGGAATGGTAGAAAATTGGAGGTGGAGGGTCGATCGGAGGAAGACGATAATAGCAACATCGATCGATATTTTGTTTAAGTAGGTAATAGTCTAGCCATAAAATGAAAAAAAATGGCTACATTCAATATTTTCGACACACTTAAAACAAGTCCTTCCTTTCTTTGACCTTTTTCCTTTTCTGGTGTCTAATATTTTTACAAACTAACATCAAAGCAACTTTCTTAGTTACACAGCAATACAAATATCAGACTGCACACATTCCATGGGAGCAAATGGGTCAAAACACAAGAACATGCCCCGGATCATCGGTTCTGATTGTTTCGGAAGAAATTGAGATCCCAGCGACGAATCAAACCATCCATAATATGGGTTGCAGGATTTCGGACAACAGTTACGGTCGCCTTCGTGTTGGCTGACAAATCAGCTTCAGCTGAACGTTGGCTACTTGCAGGTGTATTACTACAAGAGGAAGCCCCTGCACTTTCAGTTCCAGCAGGTGCAGGCACCCCTATAGAAGATTCGCTTTTATCGGAACACGAGCGATCAGATACCGAATTCGAATCTCGAACTACTGAAGTAGATTCTGGTTTAATAGATATACTGTACTCTTCTGAAGTTGAAGCAGATTCTGCTTTAAACTGAGAAAAATGGTCATTTGAAGTGGATGTGGCTTCTGGATGCAGCACTCCACAATGGTCTATTCGTGAAATTCCACTTTCGTCTTTCTGTAAAACGTCCTTCGTGTCGGTACATATGACACTCGAAGCTTGCTCTTCTTCTTGAGCGTTTTTCATTTTGAAATCCTTCAACGATTCCATCACTGCTTCCATGAGCATCTGAAATTCATTTACCAAACAAAAAAAAGAAAAACAGATCATCTTAACACGTTGGCCCCGTTTCGGAGATAAGACGATGTGAAAGTTACTATTAATCAGACTGACCCTTTCTTCCTCCTCTGCACTGCATGGGAACCCTGCCAAGTCATCAAGAGGATATTCGACATACTGATCATCATCCATCAAATTTGGAACATTGGTTTCGTAAGGATGGCCATTCGACAATTCAAAACTAATCATATTTGAAGATGACAAGTCCGTGTCATTACTCGTACTTTGATCCTGCAGCAAAGCAACATTTATGTCATATTTTGTAAATAAGCTAATCTACTTGCATTCATATTCATGAAAACTGTGAGATCCACGAGGATTGGAGAGGAAAACGAAGCATTCTTTATAAGGGTGTGGAAACCTCTCATTAGTTTTAAAAATCTTGAGGGAAGCCCGAAAGGGAAAGGCTAAAGAGGACAATATCGGCTAATGGTAGGCTTGGGCTGTGACAAATAGTATCAAAGCCAGACATCGGGCGGTGCACCAACGAAGATGTTGGGCCCGAAGGGGAGTGAATTGTGAGATCCCATATCGGTTGGAGGAGAACAAAATAATCTTTACGAGGGTGTGGAAACCTCTCCCTAGTAGACGCGTTCTAAAAACGTTAAGGGAAACCTCGAAAGGGAAAGCCCAAAGACGACATTATATGTTAGCGGTGGGCTTGGGCTATTACAAAAACTGTACCAAGTTTACAGCTGATCCTGTTAATTAACAGTATCCCGGACATTCCTTTTCTTTTAGAATATTACAATTTAAACAACCGGATGGAATTGAAATCTTGCAAGATGATTACTAATACAGTCGCCAGTTCAACTATGCTAAGTTCACATCTTAGACATGCATTTGGAATCAATAGGAAAGTCAAATTAAAAGCTATGGTGGTACCTGAGATAGGGATTGATGATCTCCAGAAGGAAGATCGGCAGGAACCTGATGCAAGGGGTAAGTGAAGTCATTAACTGTCATCCGTGCACTTCTATTTAATTCCAAATTGACCAAAAAGTTGCTTTGATCTTCATTTAAGGCAATAGAGTGCGATATAACATTACCTCTGTCCGACTCATAGATCTTTTTGAACGGAGTTCTTTAATAGCACCTTCCGTACTATTAGTTGGTATATCTATAGGTAGGGAAAAAAAAAAATTTAATTAAAAGAAAAGACAGAGTCGCCATTAAAGACCTTAAATCCTGAGTATAAACAACAATAAAGAAGCAGAAAATAGTGAGTCGTTAAGTCGTGCCTCTTGATATTGTAGAGGAACCATGGTTTGGGCCCGCTTCTTGCATCGGTCTCCAATAATCCTGAGGATAAAAGATAGTTAAATCTGGCAGCTCAACAAAAGTGAAATCCAACAGAAGCACTGAGGCCTATTTACCTTGTCACTGAAGTAGGATGGCATGGTGTTGATATAAATATCCCCTATTTCATCCTCTGGGGGTTGCAAAACATTGTGGAAGAAAATATTTATAGAATCGAAGTAAAATTGAGGGCGAGGAGAATTGTGATCACCATCGAACTTGATAATGTTTTTGTCCCCCTGCAAAAGAGACAGTTTCATGAATTAACAGCAGCAGTGTAAAATGTTTGGCAAGAGGGGGGTAAGAAATAGTTTACTATGTGTAAATACAAAGGGGGAGGTTAAACAGAGATTTTATCAAATATTTTGACAGCCAGTTAAACATAAAAATTTTAGAATCAACCGAACTAGGAACATGAAGCATCCTGTATTTGAATATGCATCTTTGGGTTCATTAAATATTAAGAAGAAGCTGGAGGGAAAGAGGGAGGGAGACCCTGAAACTTCTTTTATAAGATCACCGCTTAAGGCTGAAACTTTGGAATATATTCCAATATTTTAGCAGAAGTACTTATGAAAGAAAAGGTTATCGAGTGATTCAAAGTCCTTATTGCACAGAGCTATATCCTGCGGAAGAAGACACCAAAAGGAAAACTTCTTTAAATCTTGTAAGAGGAAGCGCAGAGCTACCTCTACAATGAAAGAGTTTCCAACATAATTCATTCCCACATTTCCGAATCCTAAATCTTTTGGATGGAAGAGTACAACCTCTTAAGCTTTATAAGGTGCTACAGGTTACAGCTACGGTGAATCACAATGAACCTAGTACGTAGTTTATGAAATCCTTAGAGTTGTTATGCATTTGAATTGGTTTGTTCATAATAAATTTGCTAGTGCTCCATATAACAGTACCCACTTCAAACTCAAAACTTTTGGACGAAAGCTTGAGTTTTTACCAAAAAAAAAAAAAAAACAGAGAAAGAAGGAGAAATTTTAGGTAAGAACTTCACACTAGGTATTTAGGTGACAAGGATTTACCACATAGGCATCATGTATTTGGTCTGAGTGATGAGGCCGTATGAAGTCATCGTCGATGGCATGCCCAATTAACACTGGTACAAAGCAAGATTTTGCCACCTAGACAAAACAATGTTGGATAAATCTCAGTTGAAATGGCAAGCATTAAAAATAAAAAGAAAGCTTATGAAGAACATAATGTTTCATTCCCAATTTCTGGCTGAACTAGTATTACTGCATTTTCCTAACCAATTCATTGCCCAAGAAACAAGCATCACAAAAGGGAAGATAAATCTCCTAACAACACGAAAGAAAATCTTAACAATCAGCAAGAAGAGGCTATCATTTTGAAAATCGTTGGAAAAATGCACCAACCAGAAGCAAGAAACATGTAAAATACCCAAAATTACTGAACTCCTAGATTTATCTTCAAAGATCAAAGATAACTACTTTGAACTGATCACCACTCATAGAATTGCTGTTAACTTCTTGAAAAATTATTAATCTGTGCTATGGAAAAAGCCATGGAGAAAAAATCAATCAGTTGTTTGGTTCATTAAATTTTCTCAGGATGATATATGCCACCATAACCTATGTTGGTCGTACATTTTCTAAAAGAAAAAATATGACGTTGATTTCTCAACTGACCACACTTTCTTTCCACTATCTATTGATTTTAATGTTATGAGCACTTATCATGTTTGCGACTCAAATCCGAAACGAAATATGCCAAGGTCATGGCTTCTGTCTTTTTCCCAGTCAACTGGGTTAATGATTTTTTGAGGGATAAAGTACAAGCTCAGGTAGAACATCTGGGAGAGCCCAACCTTAAGCACATGATTAATCCTTTTCTGATGAAAGGGCATGGAACACATGTCAAGTGTCAGCTAACATTTTGTATAAGAGACACATAAACATTCATTAAGAAACAATGTGGCCAAAAAAGGAACCTAAAGGACAAAGGGACAAGGGACTCCCTCCCCTAAAGAGAAAGACAACAAAAACAGCTCCCAACCAAGGTTAATTGTGAAAGTGGTGTACTAACAAAAATAGTTGTGTTGGCTACTCCAACGGAGGCTGTAAACTGGACAGGGTCACAAAAGTAACCAAAAGAATTGACCTTGTCTTTAAAGACTATTGTTTCTTTCGACAAAATTTCTTGTGCGATTAGCATCTAATGAATAAATTTTTTTCCCTTAAAGCAGAAGCATTAAATCTATCCCCAAGGAAAAAGGAGAACATGCAGATCAATTATTCACTCTACTAGTTAGCATGCAACTGAGAAGTTATAAAAGGAGCTCACAGATACATATAGCAGATAATAGATAGAATGAAACCTTAATGGTGTTGAGGTCCATAATGTCAAATTTTGCCTTTTTCTGGATAGCCCTTCTCATGTATTGAATAGCAAACTTCACCTAGAATCACACAAATAATGAGATAGTTAGGATTTCCGAGCATCAATCACTTACCATCAAAAGAACATTAGTTACAACAACTTATGGACCAACCAATCACACGCACATCATTGAACTACGGGAATTTTTTTTTTTTAAAATAGGAATAATGACTTGTGAGGTCATTTGAAATTAGTTTTGACCACCACACTTGTAGGTCCCAAGAAAAGAAATGGACTAGACTGTTGCTGAGAGAGGAATTTCTCAGTTCAAGCTTTGGTTGATTCAAAATCAGTGAAATAATTCTTACCGTGAATTTAGGTAAACGAAACTTATAGGTTTCTACAAGTTCCATCATTAGCTCAACCAGATCAGAGAAAGGACTGTCCAGAACCATCCCTGCAATTGAAGGATTCTCAGCCCCATACATTAGGCTGTTCGAAATATGCATGTTAGTGGAAAATGAACAAGACTAAATAAGATTCAAACATTATCTAAGGCTGAAATATTGATAACTATTTTTAGATAAGAACCAATCTTACAATGACTTTATCCATAAACAAACCTGAAGGTAAGAACAGTGAACTTATGAAATTCTTTCCCATGAGGAAGATTATATATTTCATTCTAATTACTCGTGAAACAAATCAATCAAAATTGTGCTACAGATAACGCAATAGTGAAGAAACACAATACATATTTTATTATGACTTGCACGGATCTTGACCAAATGTGCCTCCTTTTTGTAACCCTTTGGTCCTCGGGGATTCCTCATCTATTCTCTTTTGTTTGGTAATTATCATCAATATAATGTCACAGTTCTTATTAGTTTTAAAAAACACCACAAGAAAGAAGAGTGCTTTGATTAAATTTAAAGACTGGGAATTTCCCATGCATTTGCTTCATAATGATTCTAAATTCAGAATCTTTGACTCCAGTCAAGTAGTTTCACTGTTGTACCTTTGTTTATCATAATAGAAGTGACGAAGTTGAGTTCTGTTTTGTGCAAACTAATTTGGAAAGCTACTCAAAAAGATGCATAATCTTTCTTTGGTTTCTGCATTGGAAGTGTTACCGCTAATGGAAGTTCCGGTCTCATCCATGCTTTGACAAGTTTGAATTCTCTCATGAGAGGATTAATACTATCATCGTATTTAGAGGTCATCTTTTATGTTAATTGGCCTTTAATAGTGTAAGGTGTATGATACAATGCCACTTCAAGTGTACATACATTACACTCATGGAAAAAAGTGGCCACATCTGGAACCCATTGACAATGACATGGAAAAGAAAAATAATTGAAGGCTGACAAATTCAAACCCCTTCTACCTCCTTTCTTCCATTTCTTCTCTAGTGATCTTTATCAAACAGTTGGTAAATCTGCAATCGGTGAATTGCGTTTGTTATCTCGATTGGTGGTGACCCTGGGATATATTTTCCTTTCATACAAGCGAGACATACTCTTGTGGTTACCAAATTCTATGGCTGGTGGAGCTCCACCTCAACTAATATAAATCCTTGCAATCTGCTGAGATATAACTGAATCTTTTGGTTTTGAGTTAAAATTCTAGCTCTTGAAACCAACACTTGGAATTTGTTCTGGTACTCTTCCACTAAACCTGTTCGTTTTAGCTTAGCGAGCTCCCCCAATTTATTGCTTCAAATGGGAAGTCCAAACCGCAAGTTGCATTGGTGGACAAACTTTGTCCAAGTGGGATCTAGAATATCATGTACCATCTATAAATACCATAGCAATTCCCTGAGTGATAAGAGGCTAAGCTCGCTTTTCTTCCTTAGGAGTCAATTGATGTCAGGAAAAAGTGTTGACAACGGTAATCCAACCCAAGGGAGCTATTGAACGAGGGAAGTCGAGTATAGTGAATTTTGATACAATTAATTTTCCACCAAAATTTTCAGAAATTGTTGTCCCAGAAATCCCTGATCGTAATAAGAAGCTAAGCTCGCTTTTCTTCCTTAGGTGTCAAATGATGTCGGAAAAAATGTTGACAACGACCAATTCAACCCAAGGGGGCTATTGAAACGAGGGAAGTTAAGTTTCGTGAATTTTGATACAATTAAGTTTTCTCCAAAATTTTCAGAAATTGTTGTCCCAGAAATCCCTGATCTCTCATCGTTTTTTTTCTTGACTTTCAACACTGGAAGAAATCATATCCTTTTTTTTTGTGAATTCCAAGTCAAGAGACATGACATCCAATATGGCATGAAGCTATTCAACTTCAAGCCGAATTGGCCAGCAATTCAGATAAGATTAAATTGAGGTGGGTTCCATACATCATCGTCTTAAATTGAAGATAAAATAAGATTAAATTTATTTTCAAATTAAATTCAGATAAGATTAAACTTAAAAAAAAAAAAAAAAAAAATCCAACCAACAACTAAAAATAATTTGAATTGGTCAGACATAATTATTCTTATTTTCCATGTCATCGTTGACTACTTTCTGCAACAAGTGTAATGTGTACACTTGTAGTCGCATTGTATCAATGTGTAAGAAGGCCTCAATAGGTGGAGCATGTGTTGTGAGATTGTCAATATGATGGAGGAGGTCTTATTCCATCTTCCATTTTGTGAGGAGCTTTTCTTGGTGTTCTTTTTTTTTTTTTTTTTTGCAACTTTATGGAATATCCCACGTGAGAAGAGCGGGGAAATCTTTATTGAAATGGAAAGGTCTTGAATTCAACGGTCATCCTTTTATCTCTTATTCTATTGAATTGAAGCCCCTATTCTATGGAATTGAAGCCCCTTCTTGTTGTAATTTTGTTTTGTTTTCTTTTCTTTTTCTAAGATTTTATATTTGTGAATGTTAGGTCCCATGATTTTTCTTGTTTAACCTGTTTAACCGTATAAATGTTTGCATATCTTACCCCAATAGGGAAATGTACCGAGTATTTTAAGAACTCACCACTCACAAAAATCATTTTCAATTAAGGGCAACACTATAGCACGGGATGATGAACGGGCTGAAGAAATCAGTCATGGGACAACCGGAAGTTTTAATGTTTTTTCTTTAAAACGTTTCTGCTTTGAGTTGATTTGATTTGAATTCGACAAGACATCCAATGACCTCGTGGTGGCCAAACTGTGTCTACCACTTAGCAGGAGATTGAAAAACACCATTCATTCAAACTCCATAATCTCGTAAACTAGGGGTTTCCTAGTAAAAATCAAATCAAACAAAATGAACTTAAAGCAAAAACGTTTTCAATAAAAAGCATAAAAACTCCAAAGTTGCTCTTACCTAAAAATCATTTTATAAAATGGCATGTATTTAAAATACTTAGTAAGACACTCCCCAATATGAAAACATTTCTTTAGTTAAAGGAAACAAAATCACCGGACCTTGGTATTTAATTACCAAAAACTTAGCGTGTAATTTTCCACAAAATCATTCTTCAATCACCTTTTTTTAGAGATCATTATTACCTAATTACGCCTAATTACCCAGACACTTATTTAATTCATCTCCTCAACATATGCACTTATGGGAAGATAGAAGTAGAAGGCAAACCTGGTAACAGCACCCATAGAACGGCCCCATAAGCCAATTAAAGAGACGTTTCCATCTGCTCGCAAATACTCAACCACGGCTTTCAGATCATCCTTCTGAAAAAGTTCAACATCATATATTGAGGAAGGAAAATGGCAATATGCATCAAGCACCCAAATCATAAAGCAAAAGAACTACAAGCAGCAGTCAATACAGTCGCTGATAAAATATATTCAGAGAAGAACATAACTATTTGAAGGCACATTCAGTATCCAAAAAGTTCATACTAACCGACCCAGATTCAGAGTCAATTACTCTAGTCTTTAGACTTCAGCAATAAAGATCACAGAAGACATGTAGATTATAAAATGTTTAGGGTTTAAACGTAGGAGCAGGGTTCTGTGTAAATAATGCATCACAAGTGGTATAAAAATGATTCTCTGCCTTTTAGGAAGAATGTGAACCAATAGAATTTAAAAAAACTTCTAATAGAAAATGAATTATTCAAACTAGAGAAATACTTAGACTCAAGAAAAGAGGGGATATCCTTGACACTTACTTCATTCCACCCCAATGTAACATGCTCACCCCCAGAAAGTCCAGAACCAGAAAAATCAAGAGCAAACACGGTGATGTTAGAAGGCAGTAATATTATGGCAGCCTCACTGGCATCTGCTCGACACCCACTGTTGCAAATCAAATAAATACCAATCAGAATGTAATATGGATTAATCCAGTGATTTACGTAATCTAAACAAAGAGCATTATCATAATGAAATGCATTTCTAGCGGGAAACCTGCAGCAAAAATTTCTTAAATTGAATTTTCAAGACCTAAGCTAATAAGTATGCAGTCTGTTATATTAATTTCTAGCGAGGGACTTGATCAAATGCGTAATTAGATATAAATTTTCAGATATTACTCACCTGTTACCATGGCAGTAAATTACACAGGGTAGAGGCTTTCCTTCAGGACTAACAATAGGCAAGTAATGACTACACTGAAGTACATCTCCCCGAGTGTTTTTAACCTGCAATAATGTTAGGAGGTTCTTAACATAGCAGAAAACTTATCTCAATGAACTATAGTCCACAAAAATCAAGGTAGTAGATGTCAAGATAGTCAGATAGATGGCGGAAAAAATCAGAAGAATTTATCCATCCAAGCCTCAAACCCCAAAAGTTATCTATACAAGTCAAATCATTATTTCCTTAAAGTTGGCCCAATTATTGGATGCATTAAGAGGGAAGATCATTATCAAATAAGTCTAGAGAAATTCCTCATACCTCCTGTTACTCAGAGCCTCTTATAGACTTCTTCAAATAAGTCTTAAGAGTATCCAATGATTTTGAGATAGCCTCCCAAGACTTTCCAAGTATCCTCACACACAATGGATAAGCTTTTGAGTTCAAGCCAGAAATCCTTTCTCCACTTTCGGGTAGAAGTTCCACACACACATGCGATGAGATTTTTTTGGAAATAGAGCCAAGTCCTTCAGATTAGCTAATACATTCGATAATATTTTCCTATGTGCATGTGTGCGGTTAAAGATTTCAGGAAGGCTTTTACTCGGGAATTATAGTTGAAAATATTTTTTCAAATTGTCAATGGCAAAGGGCATGCTAAGGAAGAAGTCTTCAAATCAGCTAAGTTTTAAAGTTACTCGTGGTGTTCACTATGTAATTCTTTTTAAGATTATACTCCTTTAGTTATTATGTCTAATTTAAGGGCTTTTACTACGTTCCTTTTTAATACGAAGAGATAAAGTGGGGAAGGGGTGGGATTTCTTGGTATTGATAATCTGAAAGTTCTTTTTCTTTTTCTATTTCTTTCTTATGTAATACCTCTTTGTAACTGTTCACTGTATCAATAAGTTTGTTTCCTTTTCAAGGAAAGAACGTCACTGTCATAATGAAGAACCAAGTTCCTTTTCTAGGGCAACCGTCTATGAGTTGACAAAAGAAACCGTCTATGAGTTGACAAAAGAAGAAACAACCACTCCCTTGCTAGCATTAGGATGTGTCTTCATCTTCCACGACCATCAAATCTATTAATCTCAGCACAAATCCTTTGCTATATGAATGATTCCTGACCCACACAGCAAGCTCATTACTTCTTAAATCTAAAAAATTAGGAGGTCCCTGAAAGCCCAGTGGTTCAATTCAGCAAGACCCAAACAACTAAAGAGGGAAAGCAAACAATCTATGTGCAATCCGATAACCTAATTGTACTGTACAACCCCTGAATCTACTATGAACTTTGTTCAACATTTCTTTTGTTCTATGAAAATTGATTTGATAGGCTGTACCCCCCCCATGGAGAGAGAGCAACCTCACTCGGCAAGAATTCCAGAGCTCCCGAACGCCCCATACAGTTAAAAAAAAAAAAAAAAAAAAAATCCACCTCTTAACCTGTANGTTCAACATTTCTTTTGTTCTATGAAAATTGATTTGATAGGCTGTACCCCCCCCATGGAGAGAGAGCAACCTCACTCGGCAAGAATTCCAGAGCTCCCGAACGCCCCATACAGTAAAAAAAAAAAAAAAAAAAAACTTCCACCTCTTAACCTGTATACACCCGTTATCTTCTGTAATCAACGGCCACAGAGAAGCCGTACAATGAACTTATTTGAAGGGTCAACAGCATGCATACTGCCATTATGACTACACTAACTTCATAATTTTTCTTATGAGAGACCATACTGACTTTATAAGTTTCAGTAAAAGTTCAGCACGTTCATCTTAGACATATCAAATCAATGGAGAAGTCCAAGCAATGAGAAAATTGACGACGGAGTCGCATTTATGCTAGGAAATCGTACCTCCAGATCCTTCCTTTGATACAATTTTCCTCGAAGCGTGAACTCATCTTCTAATAAATCATTGTTCGGGTCATATTCAGCTCTGCGAGTAAAATTTAGCAACGTTGTAGCCTCTCAGAGATGTCAACGCTTAATTTAAGGAAATGATTAAAACAAATGTGAAGTTACAAAATGAGAACCCGCAACAAATGTCGTGGAGTATTCCAACGATCAAGCAATAATTATAGAACACAATAGAAAACGAAATAATGAACAAAACATGAACGGATCCGCATTTCAATGTCATTAAATCGCAGAGATCTCATTCAGGTCCGGAATACCCAAAAAGGTAAAAAGTGTAAACTAAAAACCAGGTGGAAGAGAACGTTAATGAAAACGAAAAGGAAAGAAATATTTAGATCTCAACCTACAAGCCCCCTCCATTCCCACAATGGAAACCCATGTAAAATTCAAATTTCAGGGACCCAAGTACTAAGATTAGCAAATAGATTAACAGGAAGACTTTAATTCTGAGATTCTAGAGCAAAATAAAACACTTAATATCATAGCTCCAAAATCCATCACTCTTTAGCCTCTCACAGCAACAAAACAAACGCACCAACGCACACACACCAAATTCCAACTCCAGAGCTAGTAATTCAACAGAAAACTAGAAAAATAAATCTCAAAATTAGTCAGAAACGTTACCTCGGTGGACGAATGATGAAGTTGATCAGCTGCTCCATCAGATTCAGAGAAACAACGACGAAGCAACCGATCTATATCTCTCTCCCAAGCTGATTCTGAGTTTCCTTGAACAAAAACGGAGTAAAACAATACGAATTCACCGATCAAGAAGAGCAAATCAGAAACAAAATCCGAGAGAGAAAGAGAGAAAAAAAAAAAAAAGTATTATTCGCTGAAACGAATGAAAACGAAGAAGAATAGAAGGTGGCTTACTTTATTAACTTGCTTTTATGTATTGGGCTTTCGATTTTCGGAGCCGCCTTTCCCCCACCCGATGCCTATCTCTCCGTCTCTCCGATTGGGCGCGCGTGTTGATCACGCTCGTTAGTGACCGCGTGTATGTGCCGCTCCCTCGGATAGATCTTTTTCCCGCGACGCTACTGATTGGGCCTGTGCCGCGATTATATTCGGCCTTTCTCGGTGGACTTAATGGGCCATGGCCCAATGGTACTTTCGTAATTATGAGATAAATAGCATAATTATTGAAGAATGGTCCATGAGTTTATATATATATAAAATAAAAAATTTGTATTAAATAAATGTATTATTATATCTTTGACCATAATGCAACTAATTAATTTTACTGTGTTAATTATATTTTATTTGCTTAGACGTTAAATATAATCACTATAATTAAATAAATAATAATAAGAATAATAATAAAAGCTTAAAGTTGCGAGCCGTGTCAATGAGCACCAAGTCACTACCCTGATATTGACCGTCGGATCTGGAACACCGACACAAACTTTTTCCAATTATCCAACGACCAGAAGGGGGCTGTGATGCTCAAGGGTCACAGCTCGGTAACTAAAATTCTAAGTAGTCGGCATTCTTATCGGTGGTGGTGGCCACTCGAGCCGAGAATAAATTGTTCACAGAGAAATTTTCTCTAGAAAATCTGCAAGAAAATTTTCGAGCAAGAACCGGAGAGATGTTTGGGTACACGGGCGTGAGTAACAAGGGTGGAGAAGTAGATCTAGAATCAGGGGAGACCCTGTACCCAGGTTTGAGCTATGGCGAAAATCAGCTTCGATGGGGTTTCATTCGTAAGGTTTACGGAATCCTCGCGGCGCAGATCGTGCTCACCACCATCGTCTCCTCTGTCACCGTTTTGTACGCTCCGATCAACGATCTTCTCCGGGGAAATTCTGGCCTTCTTTTGTTCCTTTGCTTCCTTCCCCTATTCTGTAAGTCTATCATTTCCGAATCGTAGTTGAAAGGTCTTGGTTTATAGATTTATTAATCGTTTCTGAATTTTCTTTTTATGATTTTTCGGTGGATCAATTTTATCTTGTGGTTTTTTCGTGCTTTCTTTGATGACTTGGATCGGAATTGGCAGTGTGGAATGAGCGATTAATCTCTGGCTGTTTTCGTTTTCTTAGATTGGCATCCATATATTTTTTTTTTTTTTGGAGATAGTTAATTTGGCATCCCGATTGATGATAAGATTGTGTCGTTCATGAATTCTAGAATTCTTTAATTTCATAAGAAATTTTCGATGCAGTTGGCGATTTCTTTATTTTTTGGCAAGAGAAAGTGTCAATATTCGAAAGTAGTTTCCGGATCATGTGTTTCATGATATATTTCTATTTTTTCTCTGTGCAATCTGCTTCCTCGTTTGAGCTCGGATGGAAAGTCCTTTGTTCGGATTCGTCCTTGGTTTTTGTTATTGGATCAAGGCTAATTATCTTATTGAATTCGTGACTTGCTGGATCGTCTTTTGGTTGGCACATTGCCATCTTGAACATGGATGAAGCTCAAACAGAGTGACTTTTTTCTTGAATTTGAATGGGAGTATTCCATATATCATTCTAGTTACTTGCATCTATATGGTTTTGATGCGTACCATATCTATCCAGATCAATTCTAAGAAGAGGCTGTTTGTTAGGAACTTGTATATTTGTGAGATCCCACCTCGATCGGAGAGGAGAACAAAACATTCTTTATAAGGGATTAAGCGCGTTTTAAAACCATGAGGCTGACGGCGACACATAAAGGGCTAAAGTGGATAATATCTATTAGTGGTGGGCTTGGGCTCTTAGAAATGGTATCAGAGTCGGACAATGAGTGGTGTGCCATGGAGGACGCTGGCCTCAAGGGGGTTGATCGTGAGATCCCACATTGGTTGGAGAGAGGAACGAAATATTCCTTATAAATGTGTGAAAACCTCTCCCTATTAGACGCATTTTAAAACTGTGAGGTTGACGGCGTTACGTAACGGGCTAAAGCGGACAATATCGGTTAGCAGTAGGCTTGGGTTGTTACAATATTGTACTTTGCAATCCCCATATCATTTGACTCCTTTGTTCTCGATTCTTGACGAATGGAGTTACTCACTGAAATTTATTGGAGACCCTTTGTCTTCCTTGGTTTATATTTCTGAACCCTTTCAGCTTTTCTTTTTTTTTTTTTTTTTTTTTTTTTTTTTTTTTTTTTTTTTTTTTTTTTTTTTTT